TTGAACCCAAGACCTCATACATGCGAAGCATGCGCTCTACCACTGAGCTACATCCCCTACCTCAGCAAGACTCTCATCTCCTTCCTTAACAATGTTCCATATGGTCTAGTGGTTGGGTGTCGTCCCGGGTTCGACTCCCGGTATGGGAACATGCATTTTATAACCGGTCATTGGTAAAATGTTTTATCTTTTTCAGCTGGTTATAACTACTCTCATCTCCTTCCTTAACAATGTTCCATATGGTCTAGTGGTTGGGTGTCGTGAAGGACCGAATACGCATTTCATCTCAGTGGTTAACAAGGTCCCATATGGTCTAGCGGTTAGGATTCCTGGTTTTATCCCAGGCGACCTGGGTTCAGCTCCTGGTATGAGTACATGCATTTTATAACTGCTCATTGGTAAAATGTGACTTTTGAAAAGCCACAAAACTCTGGAAGATGCTGGGGATAGATCCCAGGACCTCAATCATGCAAAGCAAGCGAGTTTCCTCTGAGTTTCGTCCCCTACTGATAAGTCAAGACAATTTGTTGCTCTTAGTAATATATTGGTGAACGGAAAAAGACTCTCATCTCCTTCCTTAACAATCATACATCATACAGGCAAAGCAAGCTCGCTTCATCTGAGCTATGTTGCCTAGTGATAAGTCAAGACAACTTGTTGCTTTTAGAAATATATTGGCAGAAGGAATAAGACTCTCATCTCATTCCTTAACAATGTTCTATATGGTCCTGTGGTTGGGTGTCGTGGAGGACCGAATACGCATTTCATCTCAGTGGTTAACAAGCTCCCATATGGTCTAGCGGTTAGGATTCCTGGTTTTCACCCAGGCGGCCCGGGTTCGACTCCCGGTATGGGAACATGCATTTTATAACTGGTCATTGGTAAAATGTTTTATCTTTTTCAGCTGTTTATAACTACTCTCATCTCATTCCTTAACGATGTTCCATATGGTCTAATGGTTGGGTGTCGTGAAGGACCGAATACGCATTTCATCTCAGTGGTTAACAAGGTCCCATATGGTCTAGCGGTTAGGATTCCTGGTTTTAGCCCAGGTGACCTGGGTTCAACTCCTGGTATGGGAACATGCATTTTATAACCGCTCATTGGTAAAATGTGACTTTTGAAAAGCCACAAAACTGTGGAAGATGCTGGGGACAGATCCCACGACCTCAATCATGCAAAGCAAGCTAGTTTCCTCCGAGCTTCGTCCCCTACTGATAAGTCAAGATAACTTGTTGCTCTTAGTAATATAATGGTGGACGGAAAAAGACTCTCATCTCCTTCCTTTACAATGTTCCATTTGGTCTAATGGTTGGGTCTCCTAGAGGACTGAATACGCAATTCATCTCATTGGTTAGCAAGGTCCCATATGGCCTAGTGGTTAGGATTCCTGGTTTACAGCCAAGACAACTTGTTGCTTTTAGTAATATATTGGTGGACGGAATAAGACACTCATCTCATTCCTTAACAATGTTCCATATGGTCCTGTGGTTGGGTGTCATGGAGGACCGAATACGCATTTCATCTCTTCGGTTAAACAGGTCACATAGGGTCTAGCAGTTAGGATTTCTGGTTTTCACCCAGGTGGTCCGGGTTCAACTCCTTGTATGGGAACATGAATTTTATAACCGCTCATTGGTAAATTGTGACTTTTGAGAAGCCACAAAACTGTGGAAGATGCTGGGGATTGATCCCAGGACCTCAATCTTGCAAAGCAAGTGCGTTTCCTTTGAGCTCAACCCCTACTGATAATTGAAGATAACTTATTGCTTTTAGTAATATATTGGTGGACGGAAAAAGACTATCATCCCATTCCTTAACAATGTTCCATATGGTCTAGTGGTTGGGTGTCGTGAAGGACCGAATACGCATCTCATCTCATTGGTTACCAAAGTCTCATATGGTCTAGTGGTTAGGATTCCTGGTTTTCGCCCAGGTTCAACTCCCGGTATGGGAACATACATTCTATAACCGCTCATTGGTAAAAAGTTTAACTAACTGATAAGTGAAGACAACTTATTTCTTTTAGTATTATATTGGTGGACAGAATAAGACTCTCATCTCATTCCTTAACAATGTTCCATATGGTCTAGTGGTTGGGTGTCGTGAAGGACCGAATACGCATTTCATCTCAGTAGTTAACAATCTCCCATATGGTCTAGCGGTTAGGATTCCTGGTTTTCACCCAGGCGGCCCGGGTTCGACTCCCGGTATGGGAACATGCATTTTATAACCGGTCATTGGTAAAATGTTTTATCTTTTTCAGCTGGTTATAACTACTTTTGAAAAGCTACAAAACGCATCTAGATTTACCACACATTGGTAAATTGTTGCTTAATCTTTTAGTTGATTACAATGACTTTTGAAAAGCCACAAAACTTTAGGAGATGCCAGGGATTGAACTCAGGACCTCATACATGCAAAGCATTCGCTCTACCACTGAGCTACATCCCCTATTGACCTGTTTGTCAACTTGGAGTAGAAATCTTTCATAATATAATGTAGCACGGAATACACCTCTCATCTAACTCCTTAACAAGGTTCCAAAAGGGGTTAATTAGTTGGGTTTCATGGTTTTCACCCAGGTGGCTGGGGTTCGACTCATGGTGTGGAAACATATATCATATTACCATACATTGGTAAATTGTTGTTTAATCTTTAAGTTATTTGTAATAAATTTTGAAAAGGCACCAAAATATATGGAGATGCTGGGGATTGAACCCAGGACCTCATACATGCAAAGCATGCGCTCTACCACTGAGCTACATCCCCTACTGCAGTATAAATACTAATTGGTGAAGATGTCTTTTGTAAAATATAGGACTGAATACACCTCTCATCTTTGTGGTTAACAAGCTCCCATATGGTCTAGCGGTTAGGATTCCTGTTTTTCACCCAGGCAGCCCGGGTTCAACTCCCGGTATGGGAATATACATTTTATTGGGCTCAATCCTTAACAATGTTCCATATGGTCTAGTGGTTGGGTGTCGTGGAGGACCGAATACACATCTCATTGGTTAACAAGCTCCCATAGGCTATAGCGTTTAGGATTCCTGGTTTTCACCTATGCGGACGGAATAAGACTCTCATCTCAATCCTTAACAATGTTCCATTTGGTCTCGTGGTTCGGTGTCGTGGAGGACCGAATACTCATCTCATTGGTTAACAAGCTCCCATATGGTATAGTGGTTAGTATTCCTGGTTTTCACCTATGCGGCCGTGGTTTGACTCCCGGCATGGGAACATATATTTTATTATGGCTCATTGGTAAAAGGTTGTTTAATCTTTTAGTTGAGTATAATGACTTTTGAATAGCCACAAAATTTTGGAGATGCTGGGGATTGATCCCAGGACCTCATACATGCAAAGCAAGCACGCTTCCTCTGAGATAAATGCCCTACTGTAGCATAGTGACAAATTGGTGATGATGTCTTTCGTAATATATTGGAGGACCAAATACGATTCTCATCTAATTGGTTAACAAGGTCCCATATGGCCTAGAGGTTATGACTCCTGATTTTCACCCAGGCGGGCTGGGTTCAACTCCTGGCATGGTCACATATCTATTTTAATATCGCTCATTGGTAAAATGATATTTAACCTTTCATTTGATTTTACAGTGACTTTTGAATAGCCACAAAATTTTTGGAGATGCTGCTGCTTGAACCCAGAATTTCAAACATACAAAGCATATACTCTACCCCTGAGCTACATCCCCTACTGCAACAACAGTATAGTTAATATAGTTGGTGAAATTGTCTTCGCAATAAATTGCAGGACCAAATATGGCTTTCGTCTCATTCTATAACAAGGCCCATATGGTCTAGTGGTTAGGATTCTTGCTTTTCACACAGGTGGCCCAGGATTAACTCCCAGGATGAAAACATACATTTTATTGCCGTTTATTGGTAAAATTGTTTTTTTTATCTTTAGGTTATTCATAATGACTTATGCTGGG